TTTTTTTTTGTAAATAAGATGAAATAGGGTCTAGTTTTCAAAAAGAAAAAAAATAGAAATAGGGGTCTAGAATTTTTAAGTTATCTATAATTATGTGTATAAAAATTTACAAATTACTTTGCCCAATGGCCCATAATTACCTTGAGCTGGCCTGAATATCCATGCAATTTAGTATAAGAAAAACATTAGCAATTGCCAAAATAAAATGTATAAGGCTAAAATATAAGTCGTTGTTGAAGCAACCAATTATGATTGCTTATTTACCTGAAATAGATACAAGACGAACGTGCATGGCAAGATATCCCATTTGTTGGTTCAAAGCTAATTTCAGGTTAAGTTCAATTTACACAAGTAAATTAAATGAGCTGCTGATTCTATCTTGTGTACGTATGTGCTCTGGAGTTTGGTTGATATAACGGAAAAATATACTAAAATGCGTTTTGGAGTTACAATATTATATTTAGTTATATTAAAAACACATATATAATAATGTGAAAACAATCCAATATGATATCTAAAGATTCTAAACTTAAACACTTAGTCAAAACGTGATATATTTCTTATATTTACGTTTCACATTTACGGTTGCATGTGTAAGAGAAACTATGTTCTATTATCATAAGTAAATTAAAAGATTGTGGAAACCCCATTAGTTAAGTGGTTAAGCTAATGACTCACTAATGTTTTAATACCAAAAATTCTGAGTTTGAGTCTAAAAGAACACAAAATTAATGGATAAAATACTTATAAAAAATCTTCGATATGATGTAAGAAGTATCGCTAAACATAGATCTCATAGAACGATTTAGAGTGGTGATCACACATGAATCTTCACAAAATAAGTAAAATTATTAACCTTAAAAGTGTCTATTGATAATAATATTTAAAAAGCGTTACAAAAAAATTAAAGATTTCATTCAAAACTTAATTAGAGTATTTTGATATCAAAAGAGATCTTAATGTAATGCATAATTGCAAGTCTTGTACGCAAAACAGTATTAGGTTTATATATTATGTTTATTTCATTTTTTCAAGAATTATATACAAATGGAAATATAAACACAAAATAGTGGATTTTTATTTTATTTTTTGTTTGCATTTCAAGTTTGTGTTTGCATGTGAAATATAGTTATATCTATACTATTATTTTCGAAGTGATTTTTTGATCCGAGTTTTCAAACGTTAATACCGTAATATTAAATGTATATGGTATAACCATAGATTTAAATAGTAAGTTCCTAGTAAAAATAAGAGTTACCAATTTATCAAAATTGATAACATTTTGACTTACAAACTACAATATGGTTTTGTTTTAATAAAATAATTGAAATAATCATATAAATAATAATAAAATAAATTTTGGATTTTATATATGTAGAAAAAGTAAAAAATATTTTGTGATATGGAATCTAAAAAAATATAATCAGTAATAATACCATTTATTCTTATATCAACAATAAAATAAATTAAATGAAATAATAATAGCATAAACTTTAAATTAAAAATAATAGTAACAAAAATAAATATCTAGGTTAACTTATTTTAAAAATAAATAATAAATATTAATATTTTTTACTTTTAATATGTATAGATAAATTTTGACAAGAGTTGCAATATGTATTATTTTCTAAAGAGTTATAACTTCTAATAACATTATTAAAATCTCTAACTAGTAAAAGATTATTTAGAATTGTACAATATTATTCAAACAAGAATTTATAATAATAAACCATAAAGATAAGGCAATGTTAAATTTGTTGGTTTTAAACGATAATTTTTTTTTTTTCAAATTTACTAGCGGCATGACTCAACTTTTGACAGTAGTATTTTGATTTATTTATTTATTTGTCATTAGTTTCTTTTTACACATAAAAGTCATTAAAATTCTAACTCAATTTCTAAAACATGGGGTTTTCCAGATGTTACATTAAGTTTTGATTTCTTAAATTTACAAAAGATGTAACTTAAAATCCTAACTCAAAGATACCACATGTTAATTCGAATTAAAAAAAAAAATGAAACTTAATGCATTACTGATAACATTTTTGAATTATTAATATTTTAAGATTTCTAATTCAAATTAACTCAATGTACCACATGCCACCAATAAATCAAAAGTTGTATTTAGGTTCAGTTAAATGCATTAACAAACCTGGATCGATAAGACTGGATCGGAAAGGTCTTAACCATTCCTGATTTGAAACCTACCATCTCGATAAAATAGAAAAGAAACCTACCATCTCATATATATCTGCTTCTGTGACTGAGTGATATGAATATCTAATTCTCATTGCGACGATCGTGTATAATGAGCGCCGGTGACAAATCCTTTTTTGATATCTCGGAAATTTCTTCCCTTTGAGATCCAAAACTTAAATACATTTTTCTGTACTTTTCTTATTGAGGAAAGAATAATCAACTTTATTTGGTCTTCGTGTGTAGACTTATGATATGTAACTATAATCAACTATTTCAGCATTACTCCGGGTTAAGTTGAATTTACACGAGTGAAATAATGAGCTGTTCATCCTATCTTGTGTACGTATGTTCTTATGAATTTGGTTGGTTGTGCAAATGTTATTTGTAATTAATTAATGATACTATAAAACACATAATATTTTGAAAGTAATCCAACTTAACATCTAAACGCAAACGGAGAGTAAAAAAACTTTCTACTGTCGCTGTAGTTGTTGTTTTCGACTTTTTATGAAAAATATTTTAATTTTATGCTGTAATTTATCTTTATAGTTAGGTATATAGGTAATTGCGTTTTTATATAGAAAATATGTAAAATTAATAGTTTTTTAATCTACGTGCATAAACCTAAAATGACATTTAATATGAAACAAAAGAAATATATTTCTTATATTTATATTTTTTTTGTGCGAGGTTCAGATCCTGTTAAATTAATCTCTCCAGAAATGTTATCTATATAATTAAAATTGAAATACATTTTGGTACTATTTGGAAACATGGATAACATGATAAATGAACATTATTTGGAAACATGAATATTAGATTAAGTATCTCTTTTTATTTACGTATTTAGTCATTATATTTACAATAAATTAAGTATTTCATTTTTGTATTTATTTTATTTACAGATTCTGACATTGCATTTGAAATCATTTAAATTAATTAATCACAATGGTTGTTGTTTCTTTGTGGTGAAAATAAAAACACAAACTAAAATATGTAGTATATATAATATAAAAATTTTAAATACAATATTATCTTTTTTAGTTTAGTCAAATATAAAAAAAATTGAGAGTTCAATTTTTAAGAAACAAATATCATAAAATTAACAATAATTCATAGAAAACTAATGCAAAAAAATAAATTTTGTTAGTATGTTGTTTCATTTTAAAATAAATTAAAAAAAACAACATATTAATATTTGAATAGTACAAGTACATCAAATTTATCAAGTTATAATATTCTAATATAACATGTGTACAAATAAAAATATTATAAAAGATTTATATTATAAAATAATATATATTATACTCTATGTAAATTACAAAACATAAAAGATATACATATGATATTTTTTCTAAAATTAGAGGTTTATAAGTTTATATTGAACACAAGTTAAATTAAACAGCCGTACGAGGCACGAATCAAATTCTAGTTAAACCTTAAAACGCTTTAAATATTAGTTTTTGTCATTGCAATTCACATCATATCTTTTTAGAGTTTCAAACGCTCAAACATTAAAACACATTAAATACTCCCTCTGTTTCATTATAAGTGTCACTCTATAGCTGTGCACACGGATTAAGGAAACAATTAATTTTACATATTTTCTAGATAAAAACACAGTTACCCGTATACCTAACCATATTTTAACCAATAGAAAAACAAATTACATGATAAAATTAATAAATTTTGCATTAAAAACCGAAAACGACACTTATTTTGTAACGCAAAAAAATCTCTACAACGACACTTAATATGAAACGAAGGGAGTATTAGATATAGCCAATCGAGTCTTAGATAGGATTTGGACAAATTGAGACTCGCGGATCCAAAAATCTATCTTATAAGTACTTTGTTGTGGACCTGAACCGAAACTGAATATGTATCTTTGGGTCAATTTTGGTTTGTTTTTTTGGATTGGATAAAATGCATATCCCTAATAGGAAATTACATAAATGTAAATATATAAAATCTCAAATAAACTAATTAAATTCAAATAATTTGTTTTCTTTGATATAATACGACTTGTAACATAATAATGTATAAAATTACAAAATACTAATTCATATCAAAATGTGTTTTTTTGTTTATAATCCAAAATATACATTTTCGAAAATATTTAAACAACAAGAAAATAATCCGTTTCTTTGTTCTCTGTCCGCTTTAATATAATTAGTTTTAGGTAATAGTGATAATATTATGAAGATTGTTACGTTTTAAAAAAAATAGCATTTAATAAATAAATTCAATCAATAAAAAAATACATGAATTATTGGAGTGGTCACACAGTATCCAAATAAATATAAAAGCTGTTTTGAATTATGTAAGGACTTTATATTGTATAACAATTTTTTTTGTTTTTTTTGCTAAGCTTGTCAAGTCGATCTAAAGTTATAACCTCATATAAACTTTTCGAACCTAAAAGAAAGTTCTATTTGTCGCTCAGTCAAGGTTCATTAATACCAAACGACCTTCAATACCGCAGAAATTTCTTCTTTTCGAGGTTCAAAACTTAAATACTTTTGTCTCTACTTTTCTTATTGAGGAAATAATAATCAACTATTTCAGCATTATATTTCGTCTTCATGTGGACTTATAAACGAGTAATAATCTGACTTGGTCAAGTTCGTTACATCGTTCAAAAAAATTGTCAAGTTTGTTACGAGTTTTTCTACGGTGTTAAACCCAACATCTCGGACCGTATCAATGGGTTATCATCTAGTTCCTCTATAAATATGCATTAAACCAACTAAGAACACACTTCATATTTTCTTTATACATCTAACTCCAAGTTTGAGCCTATGTCCGAAACTTCTTCGTTGCTTATACCCAAAGAAAACCCTCCAGTTTCATCAAAACCAATGGCAAATAAATCCCTCACAGGCCTCGAGAGTCTCATAAAGCTTCTCCCAACAGGAACACTCTTCATCTACCTCTTACTAAACCCTGTCCTCACAAACGACGGTGAATGCTCAACAACTAATAAAGTCATGTCAAGCATTCTCGTCGGTCTTTGCAGCTTTTCATGCGTGTTTTCATGCTTCACCGATAGTTTCAAAGGCACGGACGGGTCAAGAAAGTATGGTATAGTCACCAAAAAGGGTCTTTGGACTTACGCAGATCCAGGATCCGCGGATTTGTCTAAGTACAAGCTTAGGATTGCTGATTTCGTTCACGCGGGTTTTGTGGTGGCTGTGTTTGGAACACTTGTGTTGCTTGACGCTAATACCGCAAGCTGCTTTTATCCGCGGTTTAGAGAAACGCAAAAGACTTTGGTCATGGTTTTGCCTGTGGCTGTGGGCGTTGCCTCGGCAGGTATCTTCGCTATTTTTCCTAGCAAACGAAATGGACTCGGGTATGCTCCAAGTGGTGATGAGGAGGAGGAGGAGGAGATCAAGAAAGATTCTGGCTCTGCATGAAACGTATAGTTGCTTTTGTTGTTTGTGGTCTTCGGCAATATTCATTGTAGAATATAAAAGAAAACGATTGTATGCTTAAAACATTGATTCTTTGTAACCACTGTAGATTGTATAGCATCTTATAGTATTTCAGAATAAAACTTTTCATTGATGAGATAAACCTTTATACGGAAGAGAACTCTCACCTAATGAAATGACCTCACGCAAGTGCTACCCATAAAAGGTTTTGGCGGAGCTTAACCACTCTTCTTGCAATTCTTCTCTTTAATGAGAACAGTACGTAACTAGACTAAGGAAGTGCAAGGGGCTGCTTTCTCATACTGTGGGATCAGTATGGATTCCAAAGATAGGATACTCTTTAACTCAAAGAATAGGAAAAGATTGACAGACATTAATCAAAACTTTACCATACAAACTAGAGTTTGTGTCTCTATCTATATATGTTCATTAGCTAAACTTTAAGAAGCTACAAGGTTTCCTAACTTCCATGTATCTACCGACATCATATTAGATTTTATCCGGACAATCTTCTGCTTTGCTTCCTTACGAGAATGTTTGAAATCCCACAGATTGTTATAATGGATACTAGAAGATAATGTGGAAATAGATGATAACAGAGAGTCAGAGACAATTAAAGGACTGGTCGCCAAACCATCCAATTGTCAAAATAACTAAATCATGACCGATCTAAGATTTTATATACTTATTACTAAGTTTTTTTGTCCGCATATTTTCCTATGAATACTTATTAATTGATTATGTTTTAAAAATTTATTATAAAAGACAACACTCATATAGCAGAATATTTCTTTTTAAAAAAATTATACAAATGTTTTGCTTGATTTATATTTAATTACATTTTTAATATTAAGTTGTTGTTTCTATAATAGAAAAATAAATGTTAAGATAACAATATAATACATAAAAGTATCTTATTTTCTTAAAAATATAATAGTATCAATATAAATTCATTTTAATATATAATAAAACATAATGTACATGAAATTCATTTTTATTTTTACTTTTGTTTATCTTAATAGAATATTATATTTAATATTTTGAGCAAAAAAAATTTTTTTATGTTAATTACAGTATCTTTCTATATATATATATATATATATATTTCAACCACCTTTATATTTTTTTTACATACACATACATGTAAGAGTGCCACGAATCGGATATACGAGGTTTTAGAAGTATCCGTGATCTAATTTGTTTCGTATAAATAATTAATTATCCAATTCGATTCAATTTGTAGCCATCCAGATATACAGTGTCCCAGAAATTATATTTTAACCGGTTTCGATCCATAAAAATAAATAAAGAAATTTAAAATAAATAAAAATCTAAAAATAATAAATTCTTTTACAAAACACTTATTTACTTTTTGAATACTAATACCTAAATTAATAAATTTAATAAATAAAAATATTGTAAAACTTATATAGAATATNAAAATCTAAAAATAATAAATTCTTTTACAAAACACTTATTTACTTTTTGAATACTAATACCTAAATTAATAAATTTAATAAATAAAAATATTGTAAAACTTATATAGAATATATTATTTATATATACTTCATTAAATATATGTATATATAGGCATATAACGGATTGGATCGAATATCCATTTTAAAAAATATTAGTATTATTGATTTGTTTCATTTTTATGGATATTGCATACTAGTATTTGCTTTTCTTTGTAGAGTTACGAATATCCATATTTTTTGTTCGAATCGAAAAGGATGATGAGTAAAATCAAAATTTATGGATATTTTGCCCAATCCTACATACATGTGCACATTGACGTGAGCACCTATTTAACTAAATATTCACTGCAAGTGAGAATTCTAATTCTCTTGGAAGCTAAAATATTTTTTTTTAATGTTCACATTTACCATTTACCAAAAATCTAGGGTTTTTTGCAAAACTAACCTAAATATTCAAGTCAACACGAAACCAACCTCTTTTTTTTGTCATTACTATTCACCATTAAAAAGGCCAAACCCTCCTCATCTTTTTCAACTATTTACAGAATTTCCATTATTATATAATATTTTATTAATTTCGAAAATGCTAAAAAACCTATTACACCCTAAACATTTCTCCTTATTTACAACAATGCTATTATCATAAATATCTCCAACCACCATGAACCACCATTGATGAGCTCTTAAAGCTTAAGATATGAATGTATAAGCACTTTTTCCACATTTTAAACAAACTATTCTTCATTTTCTCTCATTTTCTCTCCATTTTCATCTAAAAACCCCTCATAACTCTCATTTTCATGAGCACAAACTTCATATATTCGAGTTTCTTTAGAAGTGAATCGTAAAAGGTGGTGCTTTTGCTCATATTTGGGTTCTAGATGGCGGAAAAAGCTTGGAAACAAGTTTTACACCGGAAAAAGGTAACTATTCACATGCTTCTCGTCATATTTCAGATCTGTGTCGTGATAGTAGACTGTATTGTATGTCTACACATATTTGTAGACTTACAAAGCGGTCTACTTTTCAACGCACATGTTACTTTAATATATGGTTTTTACGGATTTTACAAAAATTCTACATAGAAAGACAATTTACAATAAGATTCAGTATTGTCTAGGCTTTTTTATTTTTACTTTTGTTTATCTTAATAGAATATTATATTTAATATTTTGAGCAAAAAATTTTTTTTATGTTAATTACAGTATCTTTCTATATATATATATATATATATATATATATATATTTCAACCACCTTTATATATTTTTTACATACACATACATGTAAGAGTGCCACGAATCGGATATACGAGGTTTTAGAAGTATCCGTGATCTAATATGTTTCGTATAAATAATTAATTATCCAATTCGATTCAATTCGTAGCCATCCAGATATACAGTGTCCCAGAAATTATATTTTAACCGGTTTCGATCCATAAAAATAAATAAAGAAATTTAAAATAAATAAAAATCTAAAAATAATAAATTCTTTTACAAAACACTTATTTACTTTTTGAATACTAATACCTAAATTAATAAATTTAATAAATAAAAATATTGTAAAACTTATATAGAATATNAAAATCTAAAAATAATAAATTCTTTTACAAAACACTTATTTACTTTTTGAATACTAATACCTAAATTAATAAATTTAATAAATAAAAATATTGTAAAACTTATATAGAATATATTATTTATATATACTTCATTAAATATATGTATATATAGGCATATAACGGATTGGATCGAATATCCATTTTAAAAAATATTAGTATTTTTGATTTGTTTCATTTTTATGGATATTGCATACTAGTATTTGCTTTTCTTTGTAGAGTTACGAATATCCATATTTTTTGTTCGAATCGAAAAGGATGATGAGTAAAATCAAAATTTATGGATATTTTTCCCAATCCTACATACATATGCACATTGACGTGAGGACCTATTTAACTAAATATTCACTGCAAGTGAGAATTCTAATTCTCTTGGAAGCTAAAATATTTTTTTTTAATGTTCACATTTACCATTTACCAAATTGTAATGAAATGAATTGTCTTAATATTTTGCTTTTCCTTCAATTATTATATAGATCTGATTTTATTTTTCATGACTTTGGAAATTATAATATGAAACCATTGGTTTCACATCAAGACTGTTTAAAATACATATAACATGAAACCAAAAAAAAAATTTTTTGGTTATCATTAAAAAATATAAAAAAACGCAAGCATTTTAAATGAATAAACAGAATAAATAATCATTAAGAATAGTAATTATATTTTAGTAGATCGCAGAAACACAATTTTATAAATATTTAGGAAGCAGATACGTGTTGAAAGCGTATATATATATAACACCAAAGTTAATATATTGAATAAAATATTTTTAAATAGTAAAATTCAGTACATTTTTCATATACTATAACTCAAATAAAAAAGTGTATATATATTATAATTACAAAGAACAAATATAATATAACATGTGTAATGTATAATTGCTTTGAAACTGATAAAATAAAGTAAGAGAGTTAAATATTTCATACACACCAACTGATAATACAAACAACTTGAAGCAAAGCAAATAAGTGAAAAAGCATATTTGAATTACATTATTATTCAGAAACCTAAAGTTGGAATATATTCACGTTTTAGTGTTCAACTTTTTTGTTATTAATGAATTAATATTTTAAAAATAAAGAGAATTAAATTGAGCTATAAATCAATTAAAATTTGATGTTCCATCTTCTTTGCACATCAATAATAAAGGCACTGTCAAGCTTTTGATCAACGACCATCACCCTTCCACCTATGAATCACGTGTTTCCATCACGCTTCCAAACATCACAATTCTAGAAATGTGATTCTGTGACGATTTCATGCGATTCCGAACGTTTCCGGGTCCCATTCCGCTTCGAAACTAAGAAACGCACATCCATCGGCGATTCCGTGTAATGTAGGATTAAATAGGCATAATATTTTTTTACCCTAAAAATAATGAAATTAATAATTTCATTCCGCCCAAAGTGCGGGTTATTACCTAGTTGATTTGTATTTAATGAACCTTTTTTTTTTTTGCGAATATTTGGTACTAGGTGATTTTCCCGTGCTCATGTACGGAAATACATATTTATAAAATAAATATATTATAAAAATTGATTGATATTTTCTTAAAAAAATTAAATTAATTTATAAATTGTAGGTATAATTTATATTAATAATATTATATTATATTAATTATATATATATATATATATAATTTTAGTTATGTTATATTTCGTTAGTTTTATTGTTTTTACGGTTGATTTAGTTATCATATGGATATATCAGCTTCTATCTATTTCTCTGAATTCAAATATAATCTTTTATATTCTAAATATAATAAATTTTTGATTAATTGTCTTATTTACATTTATGCTGGTTGTTATCTTAGAAATATAAGTATATCTAATAAGATTATGTATAACTCAAGATTTTCCGTGCTTAGAAAGAAAAAAAAATAAAAAACTAAACTATGTGATTCTAAATTATATACATAAG